AGTATTAACAAAAGTGAGGTTCGCTAATAGAACGTAAAACACCTTGATGCTGAACAGAGGAATGTCATTTGTAACAAAATTACGCAGTATGACAGTGATATTGTTTGTAAGTGAACTTTCTAACCATTTTCCTTAATACCCTTCAAGGAAGAGGTGCATTGATTCTAGCGAAGGGCTCTTGATCCAGGGAATTGGAGCTACCCCCTCCCCTTCGGAACAAACTAAGTGGTGTAAAAATTTTCAATGATTTTAGTAGTAATAATAATTTGGAACCCCGAGGAACTATTTTCGAGGGTTTTAAAGAATACAAAAAGACAATCGCTAGTAGTGTTAATAAATCAAGGCAAATGGTTATCGTACCGAAGATGGTTGAGTCACCATTTAGAAAGTGGATATAGGACAGTAATTTGAAGCTAAGAATCTATCAACTTTATCTCAATAGTCAGAAGATCCAATTCAAGGTTATTAATGTGCTTCATTTGTTCCCGATTTGTCGGTATCCACATATCCTTCCACTTAGTCACCTCATAAACACTTTTATTAACAATTTTCAGTGGAGTAGTTTGACGATGGGTTGACGAAGATACGACTTTTGTCCAACAAATTTATTGATATTTTGACGAAGGTATTTACATAGAGGTTCAATGATAACGACTGACAAGTTGTTTATTGTGTTGTGATGTAATGGTTCATGTGATGTGGCTCCATGTGATGTGTTGGCCCTATGTGATGTGTTGGCTCCACGCGATGTGTTGGCCCTATGTGATGTGTTGGCTCCATGCGATGTGTTGGCTCTGTGATGTGTTGGTCCTATGTGATGGGTTGGCTCCATGCGATGTGTTGGCCCTATGTGATGGCTCCATATGATATGTTAGTTTGCTAAAATGTGATAGTTTCTGTGATGTCATGGTTCCGTAAGATGCGATGTCCTTTGCCCGTTCTCTAGAAACTGCAGGCTCGCTCTCCTCCCAGACTATCCTGATCATCGTCGACCCCCTTTACCGAGGTCACTTTAACCAAAGGAAATTGCTTCGAAAAGCCACCCATTATCTCGGGGGTCGAGTAATTTCACCTAAATGTCGCTATAAATCTGCAGCAAAAAGAGAAATTGAGCAGAATAGAGTTCCATGTAGTATCCTACTGTTCTAAATGGTATCCCACCACCAAAAACAATACAGCGCCCGGGGACGGGGGGAGGGGAGGAGGAGGTGCCCAAGTTTGCTCAAGAGACCTTCACCAGAATCAGGGTGCACCCCCTCCCCCCTTCACCTCACTATACCTCATTAAGGCTCCAAAAACAAAGCCGCAATGTTGATGTTATCATGACTGAACGCAGTTCTTGAGATAAGGAAACATGCTGAGGTAGATAAGACTGATATGAAGCACATAAGTGGCGTGTTTGGTCCCTGAACTCTTGGGAACTTCCGCTGGCTGTGATTGATGCCTGGTGTGTTGATTGTTGTGTAGTAGGCTGTTGTTGGCTGTTATCCCCAATCAGAATACTGTACACTAACCAAGAAGTGTATCACTCTGGATATGCACTGATAGTTTACTTCAGTTCTTATTTTAGTAATTAGAGCATCAATAATGTAAGCTTCCTGGTGAATTGGAGCCTTAATGACCCACTTGCAGTTCATTAGTTTTAAATCTAACAAACTTTCACATCGTTAACATGTGTATACATTATGTGCTCTCTTTTACAGGATGAGTCACAGGTGCATAAACAAGCCACTCTTGGCGGTAATAATTAATCTTCATAATGCGTGGGGACAAGACCAGGGAGCACAAAAGTTGAACACCAAAAATGAGTCTAAGAAAGAATATATTTCATCGGTGTCCCCTCAAGGGAGGTTCCTTGACGCTGGTGAGGGGCTCGTCATCTAGGGAATTGGATCTGTGCTCCAGTTCCCCGAATTAACTTGACTCACGAAATCGTAATGACACGATTGCAAACAAACCATACCCCGGCCGGGATTGAACCCGCGGTCAGAGAGTCTCAAAACTCCAGCCCGTCGCGTTAGCCACTAGACCAGCTAGCCACAATAAGATTCGTCCAACTAGGTATATTTCTACACCATAGGAAGGTTAGCACAGGCACCACTGTGACCACAAATGCATGTTGACGGCAGTGAAGGGACTTGAGCTAGAGTTCGTCACGGCCACGCTAGCTGGAGATTCGTCTGTAAAAACTTGCATTTGTGGTCACAGTGGTGCCTGTGCTAACCTTCCTATGGTGTAGAAATATACCTAGTTGGACGAATCTTATTGTGGCTAGCTGGTCTAGTGGCTAACGCGACGGGCTGGAGTTTCGAGACTCTGACCGCGGGTTCAATCCCGGCCGGGGTATGGTTTGTTTCCCCGAATTAAGCCTGAATACCTTCCAATCCGTCCCCCAGGCGCTGTATAATCCTACGGGTTTAGCGCTTCCCCATAATTATAATATCATCGGTGTGTAGTGAATGCATGAAATTCACTAGATGGAAAAAAAAAATTGTTGGAAAACATATGTGGGTTAAACTGTTTATACAGACGCGCGCGCACACGTAACTGCATCTTGCAGACCTATTTAACGTTTTGAGAGATAATAGTCTCGTGCTGCAGGTAGTAATATATATAACTATGATGCTCACGAGTTTAGCACATTTTTGTGAATACAGTACACAATTATCCATATACAGTAATTTTAGTATTATATACATAACTGACAAGTACTACATTAATAAGACATACGCAACACTTGGTTATCTTTATTATAGAGACATTTCTCAATCAGACTTAACAATCTAATACTGAGAATGTTGACAGATGATGAAAGACATGAAGTAGTAGTTTGAGGTGATCTCTTCCTCGGTCTTGTTAGGAAATGTTCAGTCCCCCCCCCCCCCCCATCCCCCAGACTTCAGAAATGCGCAAAATCTTCAGCTGATCTGGCTTCCATGACGTTTGATGTGCTCTTCCAAAAAGAGGTATTTGTTGTGTGATAAGAGTCACGTTTTTTGAAGTCACGTATTGTATCGATATATAGCACGTAAACCACGTGCCACTGTAGGCTACATCACCAGCGTTGTTACAGTTCCAACTGATAGTTGGACTTCAAAGTGTGGGAAACTTCAGCATCCTGACCTCAGTAGAACAATACCTTTCGAATGTTGCTCTCAGCTGTTCAGATAAGATAAGACTTCGTTCGGATTTTTAACCCCGGAGGGTTAGCCACCCAGGATAACCAAAGAAAGTCAGTGCGTCATCGAGGACTGTCTAACTTATTTCCATTGTGGTCCTTAATCTTGTCCCCCAGGATGCGACCCACACCAGTCGACTAACACCCAGGTACCTATTTGCTGCTAGGTGAACAGGACAACAGGTGTAAGGAAACGTGTCGAAATGTTTCCACCCGCCGGGAATCGAACCCGGGCCCTCCGTGTGTGAAGCGGGAGCTTTAGCCACCAGGCCACCGGGCCACCTCTTATTTTTTTTTTTGTCATCTAAAGAACCAGAAAAGTTGAGAAAGCACATGCAGTGTGTTGATGGGCATAAAGAAAGGCATAAATACATATACATATACCTGGAGAGAGTTCCGGGGGTCAACGCTCCCGCGGCCCGGTCTGTGACCAGGCTTCATGGTGGATCAGGGCCTGATCAACCAGGCCGTTACTGCTGGCCGCATATATACATACATTGGTTGCCATTAAAAAACACAAGATTGCATTAGCTATATGCAAATAATTTGAGATGTTGCTAGAGCTCATCAGGATTGTTTCTTAATGTTTTAGACACCTCAGTAATTTTTCTTGTCCTTTGAATGAATATTAATAAAATTAACCTATACTAACATCTCGCGGTAGTTGGTCTCTGTAAATGGGTGAGAGATGCTATAAAATACCGACAGTCGTGAAATAAGACGCATGCGGAGTTAGGATATTTTATTGAGGAAGCTGTAAGTGGCTTCTGTGGTCCTGCAGAAACCATGCGTGTCGAAATGTTGCCACAAAATATCCTAGCATCCGTATTTGATTGTCTAGTATCTCGTCAGTCATCCTGTGTTTTATGCGCTCACTAATATTTTTCTAAGACTGCAGTAACAAAATAGTCAACGCTATAGGACTGATTTTTGTTACGTTACATAATGAGTCACAGTTTAGTCTTGTGGCTGAGAATTGTAACTCGGGTTGAATTATTATTTTTAACAGTTCTTCATATAAATTATTATTATGGGGGAGCGCTAAACTCGTAGGATTATACAACGCCTGTGGGGGGGATGGAAGGCATTCAGTCTCAGTTCAGGAAATTGAAGCACAGATCCAGTTCCCTGGATCAAGAGCCCCTCACCAGCGTCAAGGAACCTCCCTTGAGTGGTCATATAAATATAACCCATCCGTTTGTTATTGGTAAAAAATATTGAAGTCGTCTAGTATTAAGGTTTTAGAGTTGGCTCAATTTTGTTATGATTACCAAGCAAAATGCTCAAGACTTATCACTGATGGATGAGTGGCAAATATTGCCAGCAAATATATCGGATTTAGTTTGACATCATTGATTAAAGTCATCAATTCTCCAGAGTTATCTTAGAAGTCAAGCCTGAATTGCAATCTAAGTTATATCTTATGGACACATCCTCACTCTGTTTTTATTAGGATGTTATATGCTTTTGTTAGGATGTTATATATTTTTGTTAGGATGTAATATATTTTTGTTAGGATGTTATATGTTTTAAACTATTATGCAGGTTTAGCCATCCGTGGCAAAGTTTGTCCAACCATGAGATGAAAATTAAAATAGCCAAAGTTTTGGAAGTTAGTAATTGTTCCTACAGTTTAGGTACAACTGATCATACAGTGACATACATGAAATGTAGTGTGTGTTTTGGGGTCAGGGACAGAGAACGGATGAGTTTTGTAGCGTAGGTGAGGAGTAATGATACGTGGGAGGGGAGTGGTGAAGAGAGAGATGGAGAGTGGGGGGGGGGGGAGATTGTAGAGATGTTGGCAGCGCGTGCCTGCTAGAAGTAGTGGTGGAGGCGACAGCAGCAGCAGCAGCAGCAGGTTAGTCTGCTCGTGTAATTCAGCCCCGCGGCACAGTGTGTGCACCTCTCCTCCCCTCAGTGCTATCACCGGCGCACACACCTCTGCACACCTTAGTGCTCCTCCTACCTGTACCCGCCTCCCCTCGCCACCGTCTGCACTAGTCACCAGTATTGTGCTCGCTGTCGGAGGACCACCAGAAGGACATAGTCAGGTTGTGGAGGTGTTCCATTTGTGACTTAATTAACTGTAAACCGGGTTGTACCCACCACTTCTGTGTAGGAAGCCAAGACCACACATCGTGGCACTCATAACAACGCAAGAATGATCTCACCCATCAAATTTACTCGCCTTGTAAGTACAGTTAATTTCTCTGTTGTGTAAATGAAGTTTTGAATGTGATACATGACAACGTTTCCGTTGGTCTTAGTATCGGTGATAAGAGCCTCCGGCGAGTAATTAACGGACAGTTCGGCTTGCTAACAAACCTTAGTACGTGCAACTGACTTCTATTCGATTTGATATTTTTAGTATTCAGACCATACCAGTGCCTTGGGCGGTAGAAATATTAAGAGGCACAATGTTTTCAGGAACTGAGGCCCCAACGTTGCCTAAAGCTTCAGTGGTAATGAAATATACAGGAAGTTGGGTTACACTAGTATTCGTTGTATTGTCATTATTGTGAATTTATTATAGTTGGTAAAATAATTTAGTCGATTATACCAATAACTTTAAAAAAATGATTGCAGTAATATTTTTTTGACGATATGTGATCAGTGGAGATTAATGAGAGGAAAATATGTCTGGGAGATATAAGTCAAGAACTGCATTAAAAAAAAAAATGGGCTGGAGGATGAAAGCAAGCAGTCAGTATCTTGGGTTGTGTGACAGTACAGGCCAGAGTTAAACCTGTGTGTGGTAGGGGTTTAGGAGTGACTCAACCTGTGGCTGTAGTGGAAGGCCAGAATAGCACACCACGAGATATTTCTGAACCCTTACTTTACACCCGCTGCACGCCCACAGACACCCTTGTTTTTCTTTACACTTTCTGCACACGGCTCGTTCTTCTCTGCTACTATACTCTTCCCTCTGATATCCCCATACTCTATCGCCTACCTACCTTTGTTATATACACATTGAGAGTGCAGCTTTAATATTGTGTGTACTTGTGTCCCGGCTCATTTTCACCAAAGATAATGTGAATTATCCACATCTGTAAATATCTGCAATATCACATCTCAAGTTTGTATCTAAGCCTGAGTTGAGGAAGTAGGTAGTTCTGCCATGCTAACGGCTAAAAATAACCGCAGGAGAGACGTGACTAGAAACCAAATTTCAACCAGAGTATCTCATGAATGATTTACTTCTCCATTCTCAAGTTAAACACTTTTATTCAAAGCCACAAGTCCGCCCTTATGAATTTTTCAGCCACAGCCTCCATATAACATACATACGAGTGAGCAGTTAGTAAAAATGCTGACCTAATTACCACGTTGTAAAGTAGGGTTTATAAGTATAATCATCTAGATACTCTTAGTATCTAGATGATTATACCTATCTGTATAGTAATTTACTCTTGCCTGTGCAGTTCCATCATGGAGTCCTCGCCTAACTAAATATATAAGAATGAAATTATAGATGTTTACCATGAGTCTAAAGCTACGAGGAAAGACTAGGCAAGTTATACTCACATCTCTGGAGAGGAGGCGCAGATATGGTCATGGCATAGAAGATTCTCTGGTGTTGACAGCCTCGACAAATATTTTTTGTTTTCATCTAAAGAACCAGAAAAGTTGAGAAAGCACATGCAAGTTACACACAAATAAGCCATGGGGATTAAATTTTTTCTAGTGTGGGGGACCCAGCCAGAGGAGGTAGAATTTACACAGCGTTTCAAAATGTGCAACAGATGATAGTGGTCAAGGTGGCGTTTTCTTCGTCAGGAAAAATGTCTCGTGACTGAAGTCTTAGTTGTATGATGATTCGCTCGACGATTAATCTGCCACTGGCGTATCAGAGCTGGTTTTCGTAGAGCACTCTCCTGCATACTGATTTTGTGTTCCCGTGATTGAGCAACGGCTGGCGTACCGGTGCTGGGTAACATTGATACGGCGGGCGTACCGGTGCTGGGTAACATTGATACGGCTGGCGTACCGGTGCTGGGTAACATTGATACGGCGGGCGTACCGGTGCTGGGTAACATTGATACGGCTGGCGTACCGGTGCTAGGCTTTCACCCCTCTAAAAAATCACATTAGTCAAATGAATGTAACAAGATATGTCTTCAGACTAGTTGAAAAATGGAAGACTACACAGTAAATGAACTTGAGCAGTATGCCTCTTCTGGCGCTTCATTTAATAATAATAATAATAATAATAATAATAATAATAATATAAACTAGGTGTATTTCGGTCGCTGCGCAATCAGAGAAAATTGTCCCTGTATTGCATAAACCCAGTTCCCTGGACTTTAATGCAAGCGATAGGCCTAGTGCAGAGTTGAGCACAAGTTTCTAATGCAGTTAAATATTAGCATTAAAAATTTGAAGTGAAACAAAAAGAGTTCTTCACAAGTTATCATAGACATTAATATTCCAATTTCTTCACTAAAAATGGCAAGTTAGGACATAGCTCATAACTAATTCATTAACAGCACCAGGCTTCTAGGTAGGATACACCAGTGTTGAAATTTTGAAGCCAGTCAAAAGAAGCTGGCTAAAGTTATTGCATGGAAACCAATTTTGAGAATGGTCTAAATAAAATTGAGCAGAGAGCACCTACACTTGTCAGTTGTTTCACGAACATTCACTTAGTAATAGTTGACCAGCGTTGAAAATTGGAAGCCAGTCGGATAAGGTATTCAGAAGTTATAAACGAAAACCTTGGATGAAACTAATGAAGGACACTACTTATTAATGTGGTAGTTCAGCCATAAAGTCGTATGTACATATTTAAGCGTTTACTGAACTCGTGAAAATTAGAAGTGTCTATAAAAACAGAAGTTTTCAGTATTTCTAAAGTTTGTCTTTTGCATTTTTTATATAAAATTCTCAACAATCCACAGAGAAAAAATGTTTGATTTTTTTTATTTAAGAAAGCCCATTTTGATTTTTATATGTCAGATTGGCTCCTACACAGCTCATTCAAATTGTCAAATCAGTTGTGATCTTACAAGGGTCCAGGACGGACCGAAACATTAACGTAACATTCTTGTACTAAGTGTGTGTTTTTAGTGACTATATTGACAAGCTTGCCCCCCATACGGACTGAACTTACTGGGTACTGTCTTGCCTTTAAGATGCATCAGACATTAAATATTAGAGCCATGCATATATGTGAAGCGTGAATAAAAAATTTACAAGTACAATCGGCAGATGTTCACCTATACATGATAATTTCTTCACTGTCGTCAGTTTATTCCTGGAAACTGGGAATGCGTTTTACAACTTTGGTCATGGGGTGCCTGAATATGCAATTGTTTTTTCTCCTAGTTAGCGTAAACCAATATTGAAAATTTGAAGTCGATAGGATAAGGCCTCGTGTTATGAACGAAATGAAATCGAGAAGTTGGAAGATAGAAAAAAAAAATTCCTGCAGACACTTTAAATTAATGTCTTTGGGGATAAGTAACTGTATATCACTGGAGGTTGTAGTTTGTCAAAGGGAGAAATGATGAGTAAATATAAAATACACCTGGACACGGAGAAGGTAAACATTGACATGGAACACCCATGTCACTGGAGGTGTAAAAGTAAAGAATGTAGTAGTATTAGTGACTGACTATACGAGGATTCAGAAGTATACGTTATACTGTACCTGTCGAGGGAGGTGCCAGAGAGGCTCTTGATCCAAGGAACTGGATTTATCCTCCCTTTCGTTGATTCGAACCTGATTTCCTTATGGGTCGTATAGCGCCTTGGGTCATGCGATTGAAATAGACGGGACCCAGGAGTGAGGTTGAACTCTAATCCTGCAGACTGGTGAGGAAGAGTCAGCATTTAATTATTTGTGAATAAAGTAAATAAAATTTTATATATATAAAAGATAAACTATATATCAGTAGAGAGGCAAAGTAACAAGCAAAGCGAGGCATCATATGACGGAGCACTGTGCCAAACCCTGGCCAGACGGGGGTTGTCTGCTGATCGTTCACACTCAGATTTGTTTCAGTATAGTACTCCTGTTGTAAACAACTATTTCACATAAAATATCAACTGTTACAAGTTGGTAAACGGGTTACCTGGTTTTAGTAGAATATTGAGATTTTTGTTTTATTTTTTGAAAGTCAAATTATTATAATGTAAAGCCAGACTTGGCCACTTGCCAGGCAGTATAAATATTATCTTGTTACATGCCTGCCACCCGAAGTGACGTCACGGTTCTCCAGGATTTGAGGAGGAGAATCTTTGATCAGTCTAATATAGTCCTGACAGATTTGAACTAGACAAATTGTTAGACATGAATGTGCAGACTAACACACTAAATCTGTACACCAAGAAAGAATATTATATTTTGTATGTACAGCAAGTATGTATACGATTTATCCTTATTCTTTGTACATTTTTTCAATATACATTTTTGTTTTTAAGAAGAGTGGAGAGTTGCCAGGTTGTTGGGTGCCACAGTGTCGTTTAGTCAAGGATTATGGTCAGCGGTTTTTGACACTATATAATCTATGGTAAAGAAAAAGTTATATGAATTTATTCATTATAACAAATCCTGACATTATAAATAGCGAAAACTATCGTTAACTGTGTTGGGTGTATTTTGTATATGTGAACTTTCAGTCAATATTTTTGTAAATACAGTTCACTTGATTTACTCACTGTTACTTTTATATTTCTAAAACGCGCATTTTTAAAACAATATATATATATATATATATATATATATATATATATATATATATATATATATATATATATATATATATATTTTTTGTCGTGCCGAATAGGCAGAACTTGCCATCTTGGCTTAAATAGCAACGTTCATCTTGCCATATAGGGCAAGTGAAAATTTGTGTATGCAATAATTTCGCCAAAATCATTCTGAACCTAACGAAAAAAAATATATTTCACTGTGTTTGTTTAGTATTAAATTTGTGTAAACAAATCTAAAATATATTTAGTTGGGTTAGGCTAAAATAAATTGCGCTTGTTATAATAAGGTTAGGTAAGTTTTCTAAGTTCCTTTTGGTGCAAAATTATAAATTTTTACATCAACATCAATGAAAAAAATATATCTTTAAACGAATAAGAGAAAATTTTAGAAAGGACCTAATTTTAAATGAGTTCTTGCTAATTGACCAGTTTTACATATTCGGCACGACATATATATATATATATATATATATATATATATATATATATATATATATATAAAATGGAATTATAAAGTGAGTTGAATACTTTTCTTTCAATCTGTGTGTAAGCCCTACCTTAACTATAACGTCACCTTGTAGACACAAACACCGATTATGTGAATTAGTACACACAGGTGTTTGAAGCAGAGGCTGTGTGGTATATATAAGCTGGTTCATCTGCAAACTACTTCTTCGGGGAGCACTGTGTAATGGTTTCTGCTAATTCTTTCTTCTCCCGTGTCCAACAACGTGTGCATGTGTGATAATTTATGTATATACTTATTGTTCTCAACAGTGTTATACTATATATATGTATTAAGTATGTACAAGATATGCTCTCAATAAAATATAAAAAAAATTCTTAGAGGGGTTTGGTAAACTCTTTTTCCATGCCTGATTTTTAGCAAGCTTAGGCTGCTTTGTTAGTTTCGGTGTAAAATGTAAAAAAATAAAAATGTAAAATTATATTTGTTTTTCCCTGGACGAAGGGGAATAAATTTTCCAATGAGTCGATAGGCTTAGCAAACCAGTGATGTAATTGTACATGTCAGACTTGGCACAGTGTACGTTAATATCCTGAGCGCATATATATATATATATATATATATATATATATATATATATATATATATAATATATATATATATATATATATATATATATATATACACACAATAAGATCACAGTAAACAGGTGATATCAAAATATGCAAAACAACCACTGTGAAAGGATAGATGAAATTCCAAGCGCTTTCGCTTGATAATGTAAGAATTCACGAAAAACGCTTGGAATTTCACTATCCTTTCACAGTGGTTGTTTTGTGTGTGTGTGTATATATATATATATATATATATAATATATATATGGTAGATAAAAGACTGTTGAGTAGACTTCAGGATGTACATGTTTATAGAGGGGCCACAGATATATCAGATCACTTTCTAGTTGTAGCTATACTGAGAGTAAAAGGTAGATGGGATACAAGGAGAATAGAAGCATCAGGGAAGAGAGAGGTGAAGGTTTATAAACTAAAAGAGGAGGCAGTTAGGGTAAGATATAAACAGCTATTGGAGGATAGATGGGCTAATGAGAGCATAGGCAATGGGGTCGAAGAGGTATGGGGTAGGTTTAAAAATGTAGTGTTAGAGTGTTCAGCAGAAGTTTGTGGTTACAGGAAAGTGGGTGCAGGAGGGAAGAGGAGCGATTGGTGGAATGATGATGTAAAGAGAGTAGTAAGGGAGAAAAAGTTAGCATATGAGAAGTTTTTTACAAAGTAGAAGTGATGCAAGGAGGGAAGAGTATATGGAGAAAAAAGAGAGAAGTTAAGAGAGTGGTGAAGCAATGTAAAAAGAGAGCAAATGAGAGAGTGGGTGAGATGTTATCAACAAATTTTGTTGAAAATAAGAAAAAGTTTTGGAGTGAGATTAACAAGTTAAGAAAGCCTAGAGAACAAATG